ATGGACATTAAAAGGATAATAAAGCAATACTATCAATAACTCTATGCCTATAAATTTGATAACCTAGATAAAATGGACCAATTCCTTGAAAACCAATATACGAAAACGCACAGGAGAAACATATAATCAGGCCTACATCTATTAAATAAATTGAATGAATAATCAATAATTTTTTAAAACACAAAGCACCAGGCCCACCATTGGTTCACTGGTGAATTCTACCAAGCATTTAAGAAACAATTATACTAACTCTCTATAATATCTTCCATAAATACCAGAGGTAATACCTTGTAACTCATTCTATGAGGCCACCATTACCCTAATATCCAAACCAGGTGAAGATACTACAGGAGGAGAAAACAACAGACCAATATACCTCATGAACACAGATATAAAATTCCTCATCAAAATATTAGCAAATCAAACACAATAAGGTGTAAAAAGAATAATACAATAGGACCAAACGGGATTTATTCTAGGTATACAAGGTTTGTTTAATAATTAAAAATCAATTAATGTAATCCACCACATCAACAAGTCAGAAAGGAAAAATCATATGGTCATATGCAGATCATAGATACAGAAAAAGCAAGTGATAAAATCCAGTAGATAAAAACTCTGAAAAAACTAGGAATAGTGGGAAACATCCTCAAATAATATACAACTAACATCATACTTAATGGTGAAACAATAGATGGCTTTCCACTAAGAATAAGAATAAGAAATGGATTTTCCCTTTCATCACTCCTATTCAACATCCTACTACAAGTCCTAGTTAATGAAACAAGACAAGAAAAGGAAATAAAAGCTATACATATTGGGAAGGAAGAAATGTTTTAAAAAGACATCTGTCTTTATTCACAGATGACATGACTGTCTATGAATAAAATCTCAAAGAATCAAAAACGCTGCTAGAATGAGTTACAAGCAGATTACCAAGCTAATAAACAAGTCAATTGTTTTCTTATATATTATAATGAATAATTGGTATTTGAAACTAAAAACACAATGCCATTTACATTAACACCAAAATAATGAAATATGTAGGTATAAATCTCACAAAATATATTCAAGACCTGTATGAGGAAAACCGTTATCTTATCCTAACAATAAGAAAATGAACAACCTGATTATAAAATGGTCAAAAGACCTGAACAGATACTTTATCAAAGAAAGTATATACATGTAAAATAAGCATATGAAAATAGTGTTCAATATTATCAGTCATTACATTAACACCAAAATAATGAAATATGTAGGTATAAATCTCACAAAATATATTCAAGACCTGTGTGAGGAAAACCAAAAAACTATGAAGAATGAATCAAGGAATACCTAAATAAAGAGAGAGAAATTCCAGGTACATGAACAGGAAAAGTAATATTGTCAAAATGTCAGTTTTTCCAAACTAGACCTATGGATTCAACATAATCCCAATCAAAATCGCAGCATGTTATTTTGTGAATATTTACATATGATTTACAGAGAGGCAAAAGTCCTAGAATAGTAACACAATATCAAATGAGAAGAACAAAGTTGGAGGATTAATACTACCAGACTTCAAGACTTACTCTAAAGTTCCAATAATCAAGACAGCATGGTACTTGTCAAAGAATAAACCAATAGGTCAATAGAGCAGAATAGTTAGCACAGAAGGAGACTCACACAATCATAGTCAACTCTTGACAAAGGGGTAAAGGCAATTCAATGGAAATAATCTTTTGAACAAATGGTGCTGAAACAACTGGATACCCACATGCGAAGAAAAAAAAAAGAATCCAGACACAGATCTTACATCTTATACAAAAATTAACTCAAAATGGAGCATAGATCTAAATGTAAAACAAAATTATAAACTACCTAAAAGAAGAAAGGAAAAAATATTGGTAACCTTGGATTTAGTAATGATTTTATAGATACAACATCAAAAGCATAATTAGTGAAAGAAAAAATGATAAATTGAACTTCATTAAAATTAAAACCTTCTGCTTTGTGAAAGACACTGTTAAGATAATCAAAAGACAAGCCACAGACTGGGAAAAAAGAATTGCAAAAGACATAGCTGATAAATGACGGGTATCCAAGAATCCTAACAATAAGAAAATGAACAACCTGATTATAAAATGGTCAAAAGACCTGAACAGATACTTTATCAAAGAAAGTATATACATGTAAAATAAGCATATGAAAATAGTGTTCAATATTATAAGTCATCAATGAATTAAAATTAAAACAACCATGAGATACCATATACACTTCTAATATACTAAAATACAATACACTGACACCACCAAATGCTGGCAAGGATGTGGAGCATCAGGAACTCTTATTCATTGTTGATGGGAAAGTTAAAATGGTATAGTCACTTTGGAAGACAGTTTGGCAGTTTCTTACAAAACTAAACATACTCCTACCCTACCATGTGTTAGCAATTGCACTTTTATTTATCCAAGTTAAAAATTTATGTCCATACAAAAGCCTACATGTGAATGTTTACAGCAGCTTTATTCATACTTGCTAAAACTTGGTATCAAGCAAGATATCCTTCAATGGATGAATAGATAAATAAACTATGTTATATCTACACAATGGAATATTATTCAGTGATAATAGGAAATGAACCATCAAGCCATGAAAAGACATGGAGGAACCTTACATGCATACTACTAAGTCAATGAAGCCAACATGAAAAGGCTACCAATTGTATGATTCCAACTATATGACATTCTGGAGAAGGCAAAACTGGAGACAGTAAAACATCAGCAGTTGCCTGGGGTTGGCAGGTAAGGAGAGGGCATGAATAAATGGAGCACAGATGATTTTTAGGGAAGTGAAACTATTCCTGTATGCTACTGTAATAGTGGACACATGCCATTCATTATATATTTTTCAAAACCTACAGAATGTATGACAGAGTAAACACCAATATAAACTATGGAATTTAGTAAATAATAGTGTAATAATATTGGTTCATCAATTATACAAATGCACCACACTGGCAGATTATGTTAATAACAGGAGAATCTGTTCGGAAGGGATTAAGGGGAGTATGTGGGACCTTTATGTACTTTCCATCTGATTTTTCTCTAAACCTAAAAATGATCTAAAAAACAAAGTCTATAAATTAAACAAACTAACAAAGTATTTCTAAGCACTTAACATACATCCATTCTGTTATTCCTTGTTAAAATATATTGAACTCATACTAACTTCCAAGGCTTTTGAAATCTTCCATTTTATCAGTTCAACATTATTTTAATTATTCCTAAGACATATCCTTGATTGTAGAAATTTAGAATAGATGCTTCATGGCTTCTACAAATAAACCATATTCATACTGAATATATCCTTTCATTGTTGCCATTTTCTCTATGAAACTCCCTCATCTCCCTTCTGTTGATGTAAATGATCCTACTCCTTTAAGATTTTCCTGTAAAACATTCCCAAAGATGCTAACTTTTAGTAACCTTCTTCTCATTATGATTACAGTTTATACTATGGAATAAAGGCTTATGCTATATTGAGCTACTCTGGTGTTCATAGGTAATAGTATTCTCTTCTCAACTAAATGGTAAGTTTATTATCATTCATATCGAAGAGTGGTAGAATCTGCCACTCCAAAATGTGTGACTTTGGAATTAGAATTATTTGAGCTAAATGCACTTAAACAACAGCAGATACAAGGAGAGTGCTCTGACCTCCCCCAGTTTCTTGCAGAAGATAAAACTCCATGTGAAGGATGTCCTCCCTATATCAGAAGGAAAGACATTCTTATTATGAGAAACAGGGAGTGGAGGCTGAGAGGAATCCATAAGCACAGACTTGTTAAAATAACTCATCTTCTTTTAGACTTCCCATTATTTTAGTTGGTTTCCACAACTGCCTCCTTTTGTCCAACCTACTATAAAAGCATTTAGGTTTTGCCAGCTCTTTGGTCCTATCTTCCTTATGAAGGCTCTTGTGTCACATAAAGCTTATATTGAATAAATGTGTATGCTTTTCCACTATTAATCTGTCTTGTATCAATTTAATCCTCAGGCCCAGCCAAAGATCCTAAGAAGGTAGAGGTAGAGGTAGTTTTGTCTCTCCTACAATATCTTTCAGGTCTTACCCACAGCATCTTAGGGATTAATAGAAGCTTGTTAATGGAATGAGTCCTAGGATAGTAATTCAGTTTCTGTGGTAATCCAAGAATACTTGTATAATAATGATTATATCCTCCAAGAACAAAGAGAAAACAACATGCTAATATCAGAAACTCCCTTGAAAAGTCAAGACACACAGACCTGTACCTTGGAAGAGGGGCCAAAATGTTAAAAACACAATATGTACATTAAACAAAAAGTATCAGTAATTCTTTTAAAAAATATCACATGATCTGATGCATTGATAATGCAAAAAAGGAAAGAAAAATAAACCAGTAACATTTGAGAAGGCAGGAAGGCTCCAATGGCATTAATGACATTACTGAACTGTATATAGTCAAGCCACATAACCATCTAGCATAATAGACAACAGGTGGCACATTCGGTTTCTGACTATTATTATCAGGACCCCCACAAGCCATTCTATTCACAGTCAAGGTAAGAACCTGACAACGGAGTAGATTTAGTCTCCCAGCTTAGAACCCCTGCTAGCTGAACCACAGTTTCAACAGGTTGACAAGTGTGGGAAAATGACTGGAATTACTGTTCCAAAGCATTTTCCATCCACTGGGCTAAAGTAAATGGGGTAGAAAGGAAAAATTCTGAGAGCATAATATCAAAATAGTAGCCACAGATATGGGCCACTGGGAATTCAACACTCAGAAATGTCATGGTCAGGAGGATCATTCCCAAGCCCAAGAAGCTCCTGTAACACATCAGTCTTTCCAACCATATAAGGATAGCAATGGTCAATGTATTGCTATAAACATGAAGGTGAGTAATGGCACATTTTCATACAAGGTATCATTAATATAAACTTTAATTTAAATGATCAAATTTTTAATGAGAACTTACTTTGCAGAACTTGACTTCTGCCTCTAAATGATGAATGTATTGAGACTGGTCATTGATGATAGGAACAAGATTGTGTACAGCAGGCACACTGATTTCCTCATGATCTGATGACCTCTAAGGAAAAAGCAACAAAACAAATAAAGCATGATTGGACTTACCAAAGAATGAGCTAATACCATGTCCATATTCAATTTAGCACTGATGTCATATAAACATAGACTAGTGGCTAATAATACTTATTTATCTATGCTATAAACTCCACAGATAGGTAAGATTCAGGGATATGAGTATCTTTTTTTTAAATATGGAAATTTAAAGTGGTTGTAAAAAGCATATGGCAAATGGGAAAATGCCGGGGTAGTTTGGACAGCAGATGAACAGCCTATTTCAGCCATCTGAGAACGTGTGTCCCATCCAGTAATGCTGGGATAAAGGGGCAGCTCTCCTCACCACAGAAAAGCACTGCTAGCTAGAACAGTGGGACAGCTGCCTGAAGAGGGATTCTTCAGACAAATGTTTTATGGCAAGGGTGTGTCAATGAGGTAAAATTTTACCTACAAAGGAATACACTAGCAAAACATGGTTTTTGATTTTTGACCCTAGCACTCAAGGCAATTTGCGACTATGTTGTTCTGGAGCACAGAGCCCCTGACTAGAGCACTAAAGCAGATTCCCACAAAGCTGAGAGGTACACTGCATTAAGGAGGCCAGTGATGAGCCTTCAGAAGGGTTAATTCTGTTTCCTTCTGCAGCATTCCTGGAATTGACTTTTAATGTATATCTTATCCTAAGATGATCTGAACATGATTATTTTTTTAAAGAAAAAACAAAATCAAGAAAAAGGGAAAATGAGCATCAATCAGTGAGTGGAACCCAAAGAAAGCCTGAGATGAGAAACACAAGGATTTTGTTTCTCAATCCCCCAGAAATTCCTAAGAGTGATGAAGTGGTAGCTCTCACGGCAAAATAATTAAGTAGAGCTTTGCTTTTTGTCATATTTAGGACATGTAAAAAACAGAAACTTTAATTAAATGAATTATATGCTAAGTAGAAAGCAACTAACTATAATAATTTTATATTAATAGAAGTGGGTCCAGAACATATGCACATATGAATTAGGCATTACTATGTATATATAGGCAACAGCCTATGTATAAAGTTAAAACTCAAGCTAATACGATGTGGACAATGAAGTCATATGTATGTACTTTGAAGGGTTTATTATAGTTTGGATGTCTACATGTTAAAAATGTAAGTAATAATACCTAGGTGTATTTTCCATCTCAACAGTGCCTCAGTTTCACTCTCAATTGAGCCACATATTTCTGATAGGTCATACTGGCTATGAAAGTGAATTCTAAAAGGTACAATTTTCAAAAGCTACTTATCATTGTTATGGCTTGTAATTATTACATGTATTCTGTACACATTCAGAGTCTAAGTTCCACACTTTCACAAGCTTCATATAAGCAGACTGGTGTATTTGCAAAACATATACTATGCATATGTAAATCATGTCCTTCATGAGACTCCTCCTACTTATACAGATTCAATCAGCTGTAACATCACTGCTCCATTTTACCTTTAAAACGCTAATAAGCATGTTTGAACATTCAACAGCAACTTCACCTATTTGACTTAAAATTACTCTACCCACTGTGTGTGCTTAAAAGTGTTCTAGAAACTAGGTGTCAACAGTAATAAATTCACTGAATTATGAAATGTTATCAAAATTATAATTTATACCTATAAATATTGAATAGGAGTATGCAGTACATTTCTTTCAAGTGGGACTTAAGCATGAAAGTATGTGTCAGGCTGGAATGAAGTATTAATATGAAGACACTGTTATGACATTACAGCCTTGAGTAAAGGAAACTGACACGTCTCCATGGTTTCCAGCATGCAGCCCAGGTATCCAACCATCACACACATTGAAAATGCAAGGTGGTTACAGCTGTTATGACATGTTATATTTGTGTCATACAACATAGGTTTCTGAAGAATTTTAAATACATAATTTTATTAATACCAAAGCCCTGTGAGAGGCATAATATCCTTCTTGAGAGTACGTGGTAGACCCTAGATAGACCAAAGACCTAGACTATTATTTTGGTCATTTGCACCTGACCAGATCCTTCCCTCCTCTTCACTCACACCTCTCTTTCCTTCACACTCCTCTCAGGCTTTACAATATCACATTCACTCTGCCAAAGCAGTTAAAAACAATTTCAGAAGAAACAGAGTATAGCTTCTTAGAGAACATGATTTTATAACCATGTATCTTTAAATATAGAATAAGATAACATATTTTGGTTTTGGCATTAAAAATAGAAAAGTATTATAAAGGACAGCTAGAATTATAATTAAATTCTAAAAATGGTAAAATATAGCTATGGTCCTCTAAAAAAGGAATGGCTAATCTTTTCCAAATATTGTTCCTTTTCTATATTTTCTAACAGTGACAAAGTAAATTCACCAAACTATTTCCTCACTCACATTGTTCAAGTGAATAATTACTTAGAAACAACAGATCCCCTCTGCCATGGAAGTCTCTTCTTCAACCAGAAAAAAACAGTGGAAAGATCGTTTCTTTTAATGCTTGACACTAACAATGCCCTGCTCAGAATTTGTCTACAATGTGCACTACCAAAATGACCCCATAAAATGAATACATACAAAACTAATGCTTTTGTCAGGGTACAAAAGTTGATACTTACCAAAGGGGACATTTTTTGTCTTCTGGAGGGAGATACCTCACCTTCGTTAGCTGCTTGTTGGCGCAACAAAGCTTTGAGTTGATTGACTACAGAGCAAAAGCAATGGGTTTTATTAACCTTTTTGAGACCATGGCTTATCAACACCCATCCATCCTTCCACTCATCCAACAAACACTGTTCAAACATATACTAGGCATTGGAAACCATGCTATTGACTGGGGGTTCAAAGACAAAGATGAGGAAACCTCTACCACTAAGAAGCTAAGAATTCATCTAGCAACAGAGATAAACTAACAGAATAAAAGAATACAAGTTCACATACAGACCTAGAGCTATCTGTAGTACTGTGAGAAGAAGAACCTAATTGTGCCTGTGTTCAGAGAAGATGGAGCACTGTGAGGGCCAAGCAGGAGATCACCAAGCAGAAAAGGGTGAGGAAATGTCCAGGGAGAAGGTATGATACATGCAAAAGCACAGAAGCATGGCAGTGGGTTGGTGTGGCTGGAGAATGGCTTGTGAGAGGGAGGATGGGGAAGGGGACAGAAAAATGAGGCTGGAGAGATAGCTTGGAGCCATCTTAAAAAACATTGCTGTGACATACAAAGAATTTCGGATCAGCCTATTGGCATTGGAAAGTCAAAGAAAGGATAATCAGCAAGGGAAATCTATGAGCTGACCCATATTTCAGGAATAAAATCCTAGTAGTAGAATGGAGGATGGCCGGGAGTTATTACTGTATGGAGTTTAAAGAATTCCCTGGGTGATTCGGGGCAGGACCAACATTCACACTCACCGGCATGGCTGTGCTGCAGTTCATGCCAGGCAGTCCCAGTGTCCTCATTTCCTACACTGGCACTAAAAGAAGGATCCAGCACATCTTCCTCAACAGTGGCCTCGCCTTCTCTCAGGACACATTTCAGTTGATGAATGCTTCTATTCGCACGTTCTGGAACAACAACATGATGAAAATTCAGGCCAGTGAGACCTGGGCGACCACATGCACACTTATTAAAGAAGACAGTTTCTACAGGGAAAGCAAGTTATTCTGATAAGATATTGAAAAAAGCAGTTTTGTTTCTAGCTTGCTGAGGAACATGCTGATAAAGGGAGCCAGCAATCAAGTTCCTTGGGTAGGGGTTAAACCTAATGATGTCTCAGGTCCCTGACACCTCAGTGGTTGCTATTCACTATCTGTAATAACTCTACCACCAAGGAGGGCTGAATGGAAGAGCTCCTTCTCTGCCCCCACAGCAGTAACATGGCCCAGGGATGCTCTTTCCTTCTCCTCAGTGCCTAAAAGTCCCCTGCCCCTCCCTGGGAGATGCTGGGGTGGGTGGGCAGAACTATCAAGAGGGACTCCAGCACACCAAGTTCCCACCCAGGAAAGCCTCCCTGTCTCTGTGGGCTAGATGTCTCTCCCGAACCAAGAGACAGCTAACTGCCTGGTGTAGTGATCAAGCACTGATTATAAGCACTGAATAGTTTTAATGCTTATAATGGCAGCCTCCTTAGTAAATTGCTTCTTCTGTACTGCTGGCTGACTACAACTCATGTCATTCTTGCTAGTGTACCTAACTACCCCTAGAATTGAAGTTTAAAGTCACTAGCACATACTTAACATAAACATCTAAAATAGCCCATAAGGAACCCAGCCTCATGCCCTTTTCCCCTCCCAGGCTGAAGCTGAGCAGGCCTGTAACTTGCACAAGCCAACAGAATGCAGTGAAAGTTACATCAAATCAGACCAGGCCTCATCCTTAAAACGTCTGATACCTTCTGCTTCCTCCCTTTTGGAATACTTATTTTTGTGAGGCCTAAGTCCCTAAGTAGAAAGTCTGGCTGTCCTGTCCGAGAGATTGTGAAGGGTCCTCTGGAAAGTAGAGGCCTTGAGACTACATGGAGGAGAAGCCCCGTCCTGCTAACAGCCCAGTGTAGCCGCCAGATGATGCCAAGGCCATCTGACTTCAATGGCATGAAGAGATCTGAAGTGCTGCTCTGCTGACCCCAATCAACCCACAGGTCTAGGAGACACTAAAATGCTTTCAGTTGTCACTGGCAGCCACCAAGCTTAAAAGTGGTTTATTATGCAGCAATAGATAATTGGACTCATTATTCAGTGAAACACTCACCCAAACACATTTTCATCAGAGGATCCAGGTCTTACAACATTAACAACAGAACTATACTAGTGACACTTGTGATGACATTAGTAATAATTCTCCACTACTTTAAGGATATTTTAACATGTATAACAACTGGAGGACTAGGCACTCAATTGGTAATTTCATTAATCAAGGTCCAACTACTTTTTCAGGTTTAAACTTATTGTTATTGCTGATCTCTTATGATTAAATTCACTAGTTCCAATCAAGAAAACATGAACTGTATCAAAAAATGCTCCTTGCACTTTAGAACTGGGACCCAGATTTCAGACTATTTTCATATTTTGACATCTATATTTGAAAGTAATTTTTAAATTAATTAATTGCCAAACATTTACATATATCTAATAGAAATTTATGTTAGAAAAAGCCTAATTCCCATATAAGTTCATGTACAGCTATCATCCACTTCAAATCTATTCCATCTAAACAATTCTTGAGATCTTCAGAGAGGATGATACTTTACCCAGGTGTGAGGAAAATTTAAGTTCCTCTGTCAGGATCCTCAGCTGACCCCAAACTACCTGATGATGGAACTGGCCTACTGCTAGGCTACTGCTTCCACACCCGTAGGCAAGCTATTATTGACTGAGTCACTGTATAAAAAGCTCTGCTCAGTGCTCTTTACAGGACAAAGGAGGACTACAGACCCGTAGACTGTTGGATTTAGACATAAATCTAGTGCTCTGCTTATCCCCAGGAGAACAAAGCTGGCTAATAAACCCTTTTACCCCAAGAACCTTCCATTGCCATTCCTCAGTCTCACTGAATCCAGAGTGAACTTGCCCAGGGCTGAACCATTGGCAAGACACCAGGTAAGAGAAACTCATAACAATGATGGTCAATAAAGTTCTTTGAATTCCCTTTTTTGACAATTTAGATCTTTCTTCTTGTGTTCTCAGGAGAAACAGCTCCTATTCCTTGCTCCTGACATGGGAACCCTAAGAAAGCTACAAGTCAACTACCTTTTCAATACCAGTCATGGATGGAAATATATTTATACACATATATTCTACACAACCTTGAAAAACAGGTTACATTTTCTCCAAACTTAATTTCAATGTTTGAAACAGAAAAAAAATATACTCGATGTTATAAAATGTCTATTATAGGTTTTTTACCTACAGCAACTCATTTTCTATATTGATTAAACTAAAGAGAACAGGTCTTTCAGGTCAGGGTTCAACTGTGAAATTCTATTATTACTAACTACATAACAGACCCAGTAAATTTATCCCTACACTTTTATGCACACCAACCCTATTTCCACAAAGGCCTTTTTCTGACAGGAATTTGGTGCTGACTACTAACTAAGCCTGACCTCCTCTCACTGATCATGAGTTTAAGAAAAGTCAGATAAGATGCATTCTTGGTTTTAGCAAAGACCCAGCAATAGTTTTCCAATAACTTTGTATTTTCTAAAGAGACTTGTTAATGGAAAAGGAAAATCAAAGCTTACATGATAAGCAATTTAGTTCATAGAGCTTCAGGTTTATGCACTTACATCTATGAATACAGCACTTATCTTTACTGCATCTATTAGAGAGAAAATAGAGGTTTGGCTAACATTGAGAGTGTGCTCTGTGTAGTTACCAAATGACTTCACCTCTAAGACAGAGAATAATTATTTATACCTAATCTAAAAGCTAATAAAGCTATTAGGAAAAAGAAAGAAAATCTGGAAAAAAAATTGCATAATATCTATAGGAATTTCTCATCAGATTACAATGATGGCAGTTTCATGAATCCACTTAATCCTTTTCCCGATATTCTTGTTTAATCTTTTAGAATTTGAAACATTTTAAGACCAGGTATGAAAATAGCATTATGTGAACTACTGAGATACTGAACTCAACATAAAATAGCATTTTAAGACTCTATGAAAATAGCATTATGTGAACTACTGAGATATTGCACTCAACAACTATCCAAAAGAAAAGTGGAACACAAGGCTTGGGGATTTTTTGCAATTACTGACTTTAGTTACTAGGATCAGAGAGGAAGAGAAGGAATTTGCAAAAACTGTGTCCTAAAACTGAAACTAAAGAGGCAAGTGATACTTTTAAGTCATTTCATTATGACATTGCAAAAGCATGATAAATGCTTTTCAAATATATACATAGCAACGTAATTATACACTGTAACGAAGGTTAATCCTGAGGAATAATAGTGCTTTGATGATTCAAGACAGATGAAGCCCCATTGCTCTTCAACTGGAGCCACTGCAACTCAAGGCCCCACAATTCTTATTAAGAATACTATTACCCAGATGCAGTTATCTGCTGCTTACATGTAAGGAAACCAGATTAGACTGGAGTTATGGTTTCCTATCGCCCTGCTAATGGACACATCTTTCTGTCTCTACCCAAGAGACAGAATACTCATTTCCTCTTCTCTCCTGAGAGGATAGTAAGGGCATTTAACAATGAATGCATCCTTATTTCCTCTCCCCAGTACCAACTATGGGCTGAAAATAAACCTAATTATGAATACAAACACAAACAGGACCTCTGAGTCCTACAGATCACATAACATAAATGCAAGTAAATGATATTTCTGGCAGTCCACCATCCAAATATCAATCACTAACCAATAAGCACTGGGAAGGTTACTGAGCTGCTGTCTGTCTTACTCATTTTCGTAATCCAGTTTCCCTACTTTCTAAGTCCTGGCTCACCACCGGTCCTCTCTTCATCAAGGTGTTTTTGAACAAAAGGGAAATATTGTTTTTTTCAGCCTAGAAGGCTCATTACTTATATATGTACAGTGAATTATTAATGTCTACATTCTCCTCTGTACTGGAAGATGTGAACAAGAATTCTCTCGGTGACAGGGAGGGGGAACCATGCCCTGTGAAGCACCCAGCTGTCTCTGAGAAAATACGCAGTGAACCATACTTCCCTAGGCCAAGACGCCAGATGCACTGTGATTCTCAAAACAAGCTTAGCCCAGAGCAGGCAAGTAGAAAAAGGAAACCACAGAGAGATAAGAGATACATGTGTCTGTCCACACTTGACTGAGCCTCAGCTAGTTCAGAAGACTGCTGAGATAGTTTACTAGGGGACTGACAGGTAGTATGACCAAGATAAAAACAGCCAAAAATCAGACAAAACTAGCTTTGTAAAAGCAATTACTACACTGACAGAGATTAAAAGTGCCAAAACTAAAAAGTCTCATTGAAAATACTACCATAAGACTCAGCCAAAAGACTCCTGGCACCAGGAGTGAAAGATACTATGAACAAGAATATAAACAGCCTAAGACAGCAACTTCTAGAAGACCATTAATGATGCATGGATGTTGACAAATCAAGGAGATTGGCTATATGCACTATGAGGGATACACCTGGTATTTCTTTGGCACCAACTGAGAGGACTTATGCACCTGTCACTTTTCATTGATAAAGAAGTAATCCCAGCCAGACTGGCAGAACAAAGGTAAACTCACCAGCCACTACAATCTGTATCTTTACTTTTGATTACTCCTAAGTATGATTCTTGCAGAGCTGGGGCTGAGTAGAGCCTTGTTACTTCGAGATCATGGTTTCTCAACCTCAGCACTATTGACACTTGGATCTGATAATTTTTGTTGAAAGGGGAGTTGTTGTGTGCGTCTAGCAACATCCCTGGCCTCCACCCAATAGATGCCAGTTAAATATCTCCCTCCCCGGCCTCCAGTTTGACTACCAAAAATGTCCCTGGGTAGAAAAATCACCTGCGCTTGAAAACCATCAGTTTAGATCAATAAAACATTGACAGCTTGTGTTCAGTCTTGAGGAGAGAGT